TATATACATATATATACATACATATATATGTATATACATATATATATATATATATACATATATATATATACATATATATGTATATAATATATATATATATATAATATATATGTATATATATATATATATATATATATAATCACTTTTTCTTTACTTGCCAATATCAAACTATCCGTATCTATTTTTGAGACTATGTCAAATCCAATATATATGATCCAACTCTTTCATTTTTTACTAATATGAGATTATCCTTTTTAATATATCTCTTTTCATATAACATAAATAAATATTTCTAATAATTATCGCAAACAATGCCAATGAATTTTGATAAACCCCTCTTCTTCGAGCCCTTGTTATTTCCAAGAATTCATCACCGTTATGGGAATTCATGAACGAGGTTAACTAAAGTGATCGAGTCAATATCGACTCAGAGCTATTCTATTACCTTCCTCGTGGCGTGCAAAGCTCAATTCAACTGTTTAGGGTTCGGTTTAATCCAATAAGCGTAATAATCGATGCTCAAAATTTGGTCCCCTATTCAAGTTGAGGTTTCGGATCCCTAAATGTTTAGGAACCATAACATGATTTGATACAACTATGACAAAGATATGCTTTAAAATCCATCTCCAAGCACACACTACAGGATATCTCCAATTACGATGGATAGATAGATATGAATAATCTTAAAAATTGTTCTTCTTCCTCACCAAATGAAGTAACGCTAACCAATAAATGAATAATCTTAATAACAAGAGCCTTATGTCTTTTTGTATGAGAGCTAATTTTCGTACTGTGAAATAACTACTCTCGGTCTTTGCTGCTAATATCTACTTGTAATTTCCCAGCTTTGTTATCGAATTCACGATCTGGGCCGTACGATCGTGCGATCTTACGGTCTAGATCAAGCCTAGCGCGTCTTCCGAAACGTAAATCTAATGGACGCGGGATGACTCGCGAGTTGAATTCGTATAGTCTATCGATTCGGTTTTACCGAGTCGACTCAATTGTTTCGTTTAAAAGACAAAAAAGGGAACGGAACCAAGTCGCGGAGGCGGCGCGTGCTGGGGAAGCCAAGGGACGAGCGACGAGCATGCCCTAGCTTTTTCGCTGCCGCTGCCGCTGCCGCTGCCGCTGCCGCTGCCGCTGCCAACATCTCTGGCCAAGCCACCTCCTCTCGGCCGTTGCCGCAAGCCGCTACCTCCCGCTGCCGCTGTCGCAGGCCAAACCGCCTCCTGTCGCTGGTACCGTCTTTTCTCGTTCTCTTCTTCTCCCCTCTCTTTCGTCTCTCTTTCCGTCTCCTCCCGTCTCCTTCTCTCTCTCCTTTCTTCTCCTCGCCTCTCCTTCCCTCTCGTCTCTTCTCCTCCCATTGTCTACAATCCGATCATACGATCCTTGGTAGAAAGCGAGTTAGATGTCCGTTTCTCAATGATAAATTGGATTACTCGGCCGGTTCCAGTCCAACTCAGGCAATCCCTTTGAGTACTGTACACGTAAATGCCGTAGTCTATGTTTGCAATTATTTATTGAAGTTAAATTTTCATGTTTAGCAATTTAAGGATTCTGCTTAATATGTTTTGATATCTTAAAAATATCATATCTTTTCGTTGTACTTTCTATGTGTTTATAGTTCTATCCCTATAGTCTGACTATAATTGCTTAATTTGGTTTCAGAATACCGATGAATACCAACTTGATAATTATTAACTACGATAATTTTCTTTTCTTTTCGTTTTGTTACTCTAGATCCACCTAAATTCTCAAATTCATAATGGGAGCAGCTCCTAAGCCATCTAAACGTGTTGATATTGAGAGTCAACATACTGCAGAAAACGAGAATGATTCTGAAAGTGGGATGCAATTTGTTTCCAAGAGAAAGAGAAAAGATTTTGCTGATGAGGACGATAGTGCATCAGAGGGAGAAAGCCTTCAAGAAAGTGAAATGGTAATCTTGGTTTTAATAATTAAAGGAATGATTTTCGTTTCCTATTTGTTCTAGCTTGATTTTTAAGAATATTTTGAATTATGGCCTAGGAGGAGGATGAGGATGAAATTGAAGGAAGCGATGCTGAGCAAAATGGGATGCAAATAGATGCAGAGATGGATGAACTTGAGCAACAATACCAAAATCTTCGCAGTGAGGAGCAGTAAGTATAACTTGATTGCTATGTAGGTTATTTAGATAAGTGAGTGGATAGTTTTGCATTACATGCCCATTTAAAGCTTTTGCTTTAGAAACCTTGATCAGCGATTTTGATGGAAAAAGTATTTGCAATGCTTGCTTTGTAAACTAGGCACATTAATCTGTTTTCTACCTTGGATACTGTAAATTGATTATACATGTTCATCAAACTCAATGGATTGTGCCAAATTTTTTGGTATGGTTAGAAATGTTTATTTAAACTGAAGGTTGCTATGCTGCTGCCAAAAATTACAGGTTGGCAGCAATGATCATGCTTTGTAGATGGGACATATGATGATATTGTTGTAAACAAGTACCAAAATAAGATTGAAATGAATAATATGGCCTAGATGTAGATGCTGATAGGTTTACTTAAAAGTTCGATGATAAAACACAAAATATTTCTAGCTGGAGAATAAGGTAGATTCTAGCTTCAGTAAAGGGGGAATGAGCAGGATAGAAGTGCTTTTGGGCATGTTTTATTGTCTATTTACTAAGGAAGCAGTTTGATGCATATACTATGGAACCACACACTTTGATGCTTCATGTATTTGTCATTCAATCATGTATAACGAACTTAGATAATTAATCACCATGATTTTGTTGAAAATTATATTTTAATACTACCTTTTTTTCTTTAATCTTAGTCCTCAAAATTTGTAGTAATTGATAAGTTAGAAAAAATTAGGAAGAACCGAGTCCCACAATTAGGAAGATCCTTTCTTTAGTCATTATGTCTGGATTTTTTTAGATTGTTTGGATGCCTGAAGATGTTTATATTTTTTGTTAAATGAAAGGACTAAATGACTTTGCACAGTGATTGTAATACTTTGCTAGAGAAATGCTAGTTTGTAATGTAAAATATAGGTTTCTAACACTGCACAGGTATATGTGATATGCTGATGATACTGAGTCAGCAAATTCATTTGAGCATTAGTATTACAATGTTATATGCTAAGATTAGAATATAGTGTGTGAAAATCATTTTGAACAATGAAAACATGAGTTTGTTTCAGATTTTCAATGAATTGTAAGAGTGACATGACAATGGTGATATTCGAGTTGAAAAGTATTAAGGAGGCCTCTTGGATGTGCTAGGAATGTAAGGCTGCTTAGTTACATAAATGAAACTAGTATGAATGCCCATGTCCTGAAATTGCCTTCTGATTTGGGAATGAGTTCCATGTTTATTGTTGAATAGCCACCATGATTGGCCACTTCTAGTTCACTTATTTCTTCTATTTTCCAAAGAAAAAAAGACAATAGAACATATTTGGATGATTGCATTGTCTTGATCAAAAGGATGTTAGTGAGCTACTTGGGCAGAGTTATAACATCCCATCTTGGAGTTTATATGAGCACCACATTGACATTCATTTGCTGAGCTTGAATTTCTCCAAGCCATATATAGTTAAGAAGATGATTTTTGGACACCCTTGAGTACAATCGTCTCTTAACAGGTGATTGTTGGAAAAAAAGAACCAATTTTTTTCTATTACATTAAACTGTGTATAACATGCTCTTAGACAAACTCACACCTGATACCTATCAACCACAACAATTTGGTAACCGCCAAGATGTGTCAATGGAAACTTTTGATAGGTAACTTAGTCATAATTCTAACTTGACTATTTTTTGAGTAGTAGAAGTTATTGTTATGTTGGTTTTACCTTTCTCTTGGATTAGACATCAACTTAATTTTTAGTTGTAAATTGCTTGTAATACGCATGTAGTGATAGATCGTGGTGAATAGTGGATGGAAGATGTTATGATGCAGAAAGTGAACCATTTATTTAAAATCACAATTTATAATATGAAAAGATGTCAAATAATTTTTTTTTCAAACATCAGTTATTTAATTGGAGTTGTCTAAATTTTCATGAAAACTATGCATTATCAAGATATCACAATATAATATGGTCATTGAGACTCCATAATATTTTGAAGTATCAAAATATGAAAGCATAGCATAATCTTTCGCAATCTACTACATCATCAATAGTGAACTGTGATGTATAATAATGGAATTAATACATTGTATAGACAAAAACAAAAGAGTGATATATGAGAATCAAATAGTGATGCTCTCATTTGTCCTATTATCCAATAAGATAGTTGTTGATTGGCCTTTTTATAGGTTTCCTCTTAGTTTTTGACAATTAGTCCTATTATTATACATGTCCAGTTATTTTGAAATCTGATAAGTTTGCCAGCAAGGTGATTTTCTCTTTTAAACATGGAAATTTATAATCACTGAAGTAATGCCAGTTTATAAGGTGGAAGTTAGTTTATTTCTGACTTCTTGTTTTCTCTGTGTCGTTAATATTGTAGTTCTTAGAATTTCTTATAGTTGTCTCCTTAGTTTACAATTTTATTTGATACCCATTTTGTTTTTCTTTGATATTTTTGTTTGTCTACAAGTATATTTTATTCTTTGTCCAATCTTCTTATTTGGATGATACAATATATCTCGTCTCAACCAAACAATGGTGCTGATCTGCTTTGTTTCTATATAATTGTTCTCTCTCGTTCGTCATAATGTAGGAATCTTTTGAATAATTTGAAGCATCAAAAAGATGAAGATGCTGTAAAGGGTCGAGCAGTAAAGAACCAGAAGGTACTAATTGGCTACTGGAATGTATCTCCTTCGGTCCTGCTTCACATTATCATGTTGGTCTGAACATGGAAAGGAATACCTTTTTTTATTCAATTTATTCTATTGGACTATGCTCTACTTAATAAAAGATTTTTAAATACATTAGATTTGTTTTCTTAATATTGATTTTAGATCATTCTTATAATCATCTGGAAGTTAAATATGACTTTGCAGCCAATGCAGTTGTTTTAGCTATTTTGTTTATGATTCTTTGTAAGAGTCTAAAGAACTCATAATTGTTTTCTTAGAATCAGTAGAGCTCATAAGTGCTATATAAGTTTCACTGGTTCTCAGATTATTGGTGGAAAGATCATCTTGTTTGGTTTTCTCATGATTTATTACATATTTCAATTGACATTTTTTGAATCAACATTTCTGTCGATTTTGTGATAAATTTGATAAGTTAATTCTCTCCATGATTTTCATCTGAAGGTGCTTTGGGACAAGACTTTGGAGTTGAGATTCTTACTACAAAAGACATTCTCAGCCGCAAACAAACTTCCACAGGTATGCCACCTTAAAGGAACATATTTGATATTTGATAATTGATAATTGGTCAGTTGACATTCAAATATATGTAATGAGCTACAAATTTATAATATGCTTGTAATTACAATGTGATGCACCCATCAGGAACCTGTAAGGTCCTTATTTTGCAATTCAGATGAAGATGTTGATCAAGCATACACGGACCTTATAGATTCTTCTAAGCGGACATTAGGTAGTATATTGGAGTTGCAGGAGGTATAATGGTGCTTTTCATGAAAGTTTTTTGATTATATATTGTTGTGATTTTTGCACCTTGTATTTCATTCTTTATTTGTTGTCTATTGTATTTTCAGGCTTTACTTGAGAAGAACCATTATATTCTTCAGGGTTTAACTGGTATGGTTTGTAATACTATGTAGATAGATACTTATGCTTCTTGTTGGATCTTGTCATGTAACACACTCTTCATTAAGATTGCATCAATAGCAACTTTTCCATTTCTTCACAATTTTTTTTGAGTAAAGTTATATAGAAATTGGAAACATTATCTTCTGCATAGAAAATGTTGTAATGCATATCTGAACTGCTGATTATGTCTTTATGACATTTATCAGTGATTTTTTTTTAATTAGTCACATATTACTTGGTTTAGCTGTACTGTGGTAGCTGCATATAGGCCATTCACTGGAAGTTGAGGACTTATGTGGTAGCATAACTAAAAATTAAAGGTGAATGAGAGCTATGCCAGGTACATATATACCATGGCCTGAAAACATTAATCTGCTCTTTATCTAGAAGGTATTGAACATGGTATCGATAGCATAATTAGGTAAAATCTGCCATTCCTGTAAATGTCTAGCAGTAAAACAGTAAGTGTTCAAGACAACCTTAGCTGACATGGGCCTATTTGGAGGCCTCAGTGAATTTCAAAGCCTGATGATCTCCATGATTCCTATGGACTATGTGCTAGTAGTTCTAGAGTAGACAATCTCTCAGAGTCCTTTAATTGCCTTTTCAACTTATTCAAGATCACCTATTGCAATTAATTTATGAAATCTACGTATTACATTTTACCATTGCTGTGTTGAGAAGATTTGATGCCCCTCATAGGTCCTTTATATTTTGGACTAAAACCACAATTATAGAAAACATTAGTTATCTATTTCATCATGGTATCCTTGTAATCTATGGTTGTTTGACAAACTGTAGCTTGAACTCTCGTCTTTTATTCCCATTTATGACATTTCATTTTTGTAGTTAGTCTTTGAATATTTTAGCTTCTTTCTGCATTTCCATTCACATGTGTGCTCCTGTCTTTGTTTGCATGCTTCTCATGACTAGTAGTTTGAAATTCTCAGAATTGTTACACCATTACTTGATGTTGATATGCTTTAATTAATGAAGGAAACAACAAAGAGTCTTCTAAGAGTGAGGATTCCTTTGGCAAGGTGAAGGCAGATAATGATGACGAGTGGTTGCAAATAATTGATATGCATTCTAGGTATGTTGTTAAAATGTCATTTAACAGGATATATTTTACAATTGACCTAGTCTTGCTCTAAGTAGCATAAAAATTACTTGCTAGATTCAGTGTAATTTTCTGCTGATAATTTTTTAGCTTACATGAAAGACTTTTGGATTTAGGTGTGGTTTGGGAAAGAAAATTGAAATATTAGTGATGAGTACTCAGATGATATTAGTGAGTATTCAGATTGGTGTAGAAGTTTTTATAGTTTGGTTGTGTCGAGTCATTAAGTATACAATATAAAATGACTTTTAACTTTTGCTAATTTGAATGTGACATGTTTAACAAAGAAGTGCTTGGTTTGGGATCTTGTGTATATATATTAAAATGTTTATCCTCGGAATGAGCTGGAAACCTTCAAGGCTTCAATCAAGGATTGTCGATTCAGGTACCGGACCTGTTTCAATGATTCGGTTAGATCGGTATATGCCAATCAGTGCTAGTGTACCATGTGTTGGTACATCGGTATATACTGGTGTTTTGGGAAGGTATTAAAAGACGGAGAACAGGAAGGGGCGGTGGACGGATAGGAAGGGGGAGGATAACCAAGGAGGTTAAGGGGCAACAGATTTAAAATGTTAGAATATAATCCTTGTATAATAGAATGGATAACTAAGGAGGCGAACTTAAAGGCAACCATATTAATATGTTGTACCCTCTGATAACCACTTAGATTAATATAGTGGCAAGTATGGTTCTTGAAGAAACAAAATATAAGATTGTTGCATTAAGGGAGACTTGGTGGCTTGTAGTAAAGATCGAAAAGAAATTACTACAATGGGGCACAACAACAAACTGTAATGCCCACAACTATTTAGGGTTGATTATATTATGAGAAGCAATATCTTTATTTAAATTAGAAGCATTTAGATCTATATTTATTGTTATTTGTAAGGTCTTAGGTTTCAACATCTCATACCACTAATACTAATTGCCTCACCTCTTCAAATCATGACCTTCTTAGCTCATGTTCATATTATCTTAAATAATTTTTTGTTATTTTATATTTTAATGAAGGTACACCCAAGTCTTTTACAGGAATGTAAATATTTTTTTTTAATTTTTTATAGTATCTCTATACATTCGTCTTAATATTCTTATATTGTCGATAAACTTGTATATGTATTTTCTCTTAATTGTCCAACATTCAGATTCCTAAACATTATTGAACTAACAACTATCTTATAAGATTTTTCTTTTAATCTAAAGGTGTTCAGTGATCTTACAAAATTCATGACGCTCCTCTTCACTTTAATCATCGAGTTTTTACTTTACAAGAAACATCTTTATCAATATCTTCATCTTGTTGAATAATGGATTCATCCAACTTAAATATATCCTCATTTCTACTCACAGTGTTAAAACCTTTAATTTTCAAGTATTATTTCTATAATTCAAATTAAGAATTAATTTTATTTATATTCTTATCAACTAAAATAATATCTATATGTAACTAATAAGTTTGTTTATTATCGAATGCATATAGATAAGGATTGTCTCCATAGTTAAAGTTTATAATTAATTCCACTTAGTCTCTCATCAAGTAAGACCAGTGATTTAAATAGGCGCTCGGGCGAGGCGAGGCTCAAGCGCCTCGTTTGTGGACCAAGTGGCACGCTTCAATGAGCTCGCATGAGCGCCTCGTTTGTGGACTAGGTGGCATGCTTCAATGAGGCATTGCCTGGGCGCCTGCCCGAACCGAGGCATCGGGTGCTTCGGGCGAGCGCTTGGTTCAAATAAGTGAACCAAATCGGACTTTTAAGTCTAGTTTGGTTTAATAACGTAGTTTCTTACTCTCAAAAGCCACTCTTCATGCCTGCGCGATCCCGAGCCAACCCTAGCATTGCTTTTGCCTCCATCGTCGATGCTTTCTTCCGCTGCCTCTGCCACAAACGCGGCGAACTGAGCCTTCATCTGTCGTCGACGAACAAGTTCGACGACCTAGCAAGAGCCTGTAGCTTTCTTCCATTGTCGCTCCGTGTGTAGTTCCTTCCACTATCGAGGGAGAGGACCGCAGGTTCCTTCGCCACCGATGGATGCCCTTTGGAGCTTTCATTGCTATCGCTGCCACTGCTACTGTTTGCAGCTTCTGTCGTTGTCGCTGCTGCTGTCTGCTGATTTCACCGCTACCATTGCTGTTGTCCGCAGCTTCCGTCACTATCGCTTCTATTGTCCGTAGCTTCCATCGTTACTGTTGTTGCCGTTCGCAGCGCTACTGCAGCTGTCTTACCGTTGCTGTTGCCAGCTTCTCATCGTTGTTGTTGCCACTTTCCGTTGGTTTCTACTGTCAGTGACCCTTTATCCCTCTCTGTTATTGTTAACAATTCTTTTCTCCCTTTGTTAACAATAAGTAATATACTGTTAATAGTATATTTTTATTTCAATAGTTATATATTTAAATTATATTATATATTTTTTATATTTTAATATTTTAGAGCGTCTTGCTTTGCTTGGGCGAGTGCCTAGCTCTTCGGGTGTTTTGGAACCTTGGTGTCTTTTGATACCTAGCGCTTTTTAAATCATTGAGTAAGATAATATCACCAACAAATAACATACACAAATGAGATATTCAATGTTGCTCGGGCAATTAAGCTAATAAGTTGTAGTATGAAATTTTGAAAGTGGGTATAGTGAAGATTGAGATATAAGACAATTATTTAAAAAAAATTGTTTGGCTTTATGCATGATCGACCATTATGCTATTTCTGTATTAAGACAATGGAAATATAAATAAGAAAGAGGAAAGACTTGCATATGCTTCATGTTCACTTACCACAAGTTCATTAGAGTTCATGAGATATAATATGACTGACCTTATAAAAGATATGTATGATGGAGTTGTTACTGTGTTAGAGTAATTGGTATGTCCAATGAGTTTCCTTTCATTAGCATTGATGACCAACTTTAAGTTCGTATCTTTCTATTATTAGTAAAGGGTGGATTTTACTAAGCACAATCAAGATTGATTTCATAGTGCATCTAATAATATTTTTTTCACTGATAAAAATCTAGTTAGGATTCATTATAAATCTATGTAATGGTGACAGAAATTTTAGAAAAGGAAGTTTCCAATTAAGTAGGATTAGTATTTAGTATCGAGTAGGTTAAGTGTTGCTTTGGCAATATCTGAGACAAATCTAAATTACAGTTAGTGTAATGGTGCAAATAATCCCAAGAGGTGAAGGTCTTTGTTATTTTGGCCTTCTTTAGTTGAACATAAGAAAATGATTAATGAATTGTTCATTTAGTTGAATCATAATGATTGAAGTGGAGAAGAGCATTAGAGGCATTTAGTGATTGTATTGTGTGCCATAAATCAAAAGAAATTTTGAGATAGTTAGATTATCTGAATCTTGCATAATGTTTGGTATTCAAGGAAAGAATATAAAAAAGCTTACTTTGGAGATATTAAAATGTTGAAGTGAAATGTGGGGTTTAACATAAAAGATGCATGCGAAATATTTATATTGGTGAACAGTTGGGGATATTTTTGGTCAAGGATGAAATGTGGTAAAATCATTTAAGATGGTACAGGCATGTTCAAAAAGGACCTATAAATATATATCAACAAAGTGTAAGAAGTCAAGTAGACTTGGTAGCAGGAGGAGAGGACACAGAGAGAGAGAGGAAGCTATAAGAGAACTTCATTAGTAGTAGTTGAAAGATTTGGTGGCTCTTAGTATGATTACTATTTCCCTTGTCAGCTACCAGTAGTGGGAAAAGATCAATATATTGGATTATGGACCCAAATAGTGCGATCTTATGGTAGAACATTCATTGATTAGATTCCGAACAACGTCTCTGATTTGCAAGTCTAGACTGGCAGCTGTATATGGATTATTTAAGATAACTGTTTGTTCTGGATACCCAGAAATGACAAATGGATTTCAACAAATTATGGGGTTTAAGAAGTTGCACTCTTTTCTCAGTTTTACGGAACCATTGTCTGGTTAGTGCAGGAAAACTTTGTTGTTATTGAGTCTTATCTAGTCGGATACTTGTTTTCTTAATTTTAGGATGTTCCTAATTTTTGTATGTGGGAAGTATCTATAGCATTTGGTTTTGCTGATGTAAATGTTTTGTGATCTTGTGAATGCCACAGTTTATAGTGTGTGTGTGTTTTAGAAACAAATTATTGCATTTAAGTCCAATAGAATATATTTTCTGTCTAATTATCAGAGTTACAGTATCATGCTTCCGTTGTTCATAACTTTGTGTTAATTTGACCTTGCATTTGTATAAAGTTTACTGAATTCACTATTATTTTTGTTTCAGAATAGCACCATTTAGAAATGGCTCAATAGACAAATGGCATCGAAAGACACAAGTCACAAGTGGTGCTGCTGCATTTAGAGGCAAATTGCAGGCATTTAATCAGGTGATGTTGAGACACTAGGAACGTTTTTGACTTTCTTTAAAGAACCTTTTCTTTGAATTTAAGTTCACTTTTTCTCTTTCCTCACTATGTTCTTTTGCCATCTGTGACTGCAGAACATTAGTGAACAAGTAGCTGGTTACATGAGAGATCCAAGCAGAATGATTAGGAGGATGCAATTAAGTAGATCTTCTGTTGGCATATTTGGAAAAGTAAGTTTCTACATCTAACAAAATGGGCCGGGACAAGTCTGTATATTCAATATGGGAAATTATAAAAATGGTTCTAATCTGGATGGCTCTGTTATTCAGGTACCTGAGGTGTCTGAATCTGAGACAATAAAGGAAGAGGTTTTAAACTTATCCTATTTATGTCAATGCATTCATTTTGTTGTTCAGACTTAGATGACATCTTGATTTGTTGATTTCCTTGTTCATTGAATCTGTCGGGTATGTTACCAGTAACAGAAAAGAACTGTTCTAGGATTGAAGCACCTAAAATGGAACATAAATTAACAAAGTTAATTGACTTCAGTAGGCCCTTGATTCGCTTAGGTTTTTATGCTGGGAAATTGCAATCTGTAATTTTTCAAGATTTACTGTTCATGGTATCTTTTGTTTCAGATATTTAGCATTTTATTTAAACTACAGATAGGATTTGCTTTGCCAAAATTCTTGAATGTTTGCGGAATCCTCACCTCATCATGCTAATGTGTTAAATTATTTACTTAGGGCAACGTTCAAGATGGAAGCATGGATGGCGATCCAGAACTACTTGATGACTCTGAATTCTATTCACAACTTCTGAAAGAATTTTTGGAGTCTAATCTTACATCATCTGGTTAGTAGTTCTGTATTTAATACGTCAACTGATACCTATTTATAGACCATTCTCTTCACCTGTGAAATGTATATTCTTTGTATTTAGATTTAGACCTTTGGAAAGCATTTTTATGCTAGGATAGTATTGACTCTTTTGTCACGCCCTTCTTTTTCCCAAATCATTTCCAGAGACGGCTTTTTATGCTACGAGAAAGTTACAGCCTAAGAAACGAAAGGTCGTTGACCGTCGTGCTTCTAAGAGTCGAAAAATAAGGTAACTAGTAATCTAAAATTGGTTTTCTTAGATATCTTTCTTGTTAGTTTCTGCTGATGATTTCTATTTCAGGTATCATGTACATGAAAAGATTGTCAATTTCATGGCTCCGGTGCCAATGCTTCTTCCGTCCATGGCCCCTAAGTTATTTGACAATTTGTTTGGCATGACAAATCAGCAATCAACCTCTGCTGTGTAATCCGGGATGACTCCAATTCCAAAGTTTGTAGATTGTAACGCAAAATTTTTTATATTCCATGTTTGTGTTAATTTATGACAGCTTTTTGTTATTAGAAACCTGTAACTCTTGTACAAATCAATTGGTATACCTGATCTTAACGAGCAAGACGTAGTAGTATTTTCCTTCACAACTACCAGTAAAGAATTTACTGTCCACTTTATGAATTGATTTCTAACCCTATATGTAAAATTAATATAACTTAAAAATAATTCATAAAAATGCATTCTAAACTTCATACAAGCATATAGCATATAGAAAGAATTTTTAGGCTCGAAATCCATGGAATGAGGGGCTAAACCAAAAAAACGTCAAATTTAATATAATTTTATCTTTTCATGCTGTGTAATTAGTGAAAAATACAATCATAAGCTTCAAAAGAACATAAAACCCCTTCATTCGGCATTTTAACGCCACTTCTCTTACACCTCTCAAATTCAAGTAAACGTGAAGAAACGCCTTGCGGAATATACAAAACGATTGAATATATATTAGTGTTGATTGCACCAAAGGTTCCTCTTCTCGGCAACTTCCAAAAGTGAATTAATCTTAAATTAATTATAAATTAAATTTAATATAATATTATTTGACTTTACGTTTTTTTAACAATATATAGATTATTTTTCAGTTCAAAAAAAAAAAAAAAAAAACAAATGTAACCCGAGTCGATACCCCACTCATCCTATACTCATATAGTACCAATTTTTATCTTAGCTGATAAGAAAATCTTGATAGTTTATCATAAGTTTCTGAACTCAGAATTCCAATTCATCACTTACCTTTAAAAAAATAAAAAAATAAAAAAATAAAAAAATAAAAAATAAAAAAAATAAAAATATTCGATTAAGGATGGTATAATATTTGTAATTGCCGGAGCCCACTTGCCAATGCTAGTGTTGTCTGCCTTCATGATTCCATAAATTTTGGATGGAGTTGGGTTGGGTTGGCCGACCCAAACATTCACATATTGCTTTGAGCCTTCGTTATGTTCTCACCCATGATCACCTCCATCGTGGTGTCACGAATAAAGCTATAAATGAGATATTTGATGTAATGCTCATATATGTTCATATTTTTCAGTTTTGTTCATGCTTTGCACAACATGTAGAGGGCTTGGAGTAGGTTTGTCATCCGTAATTTGGTTGGCTTTTATGGTCGTTTCAGGCTTGTAAACACATGTTGTATGTTGTCATCATGTAGATGCAAAACTACCTAGAAACAAGCCATCTAGATAGGCCATTTTAGAGTTTTCTAACTTCGTAGAATAGTGCAGAGTGTCAGCTAGTATAACACTCAAGAGCTATTCGGGTGGCATGTGGCTAGATGAGCATTTAGGGTAATGTCTAGGACTAGTTCGTTATCTTATTCCGCAACAATGTCACGTGGGCATTTGTGAGGATTTTTGACCATGGCGGATCACCTTGGACCCTTTATCGCATAAACGTTCAGAGCTTGTGAAGTTTATGTTTGTAACTTGCATTGTCGATCATGACCATGTTGGACCACGTTAGACCCTTTAGGGTATTGTACCACCATTTTGCCCAATGAAGCTATTTCATCCACTCCTTTGGTTTATCACTGGTAAAACATTTGAGATAGTTTTCTAGACATCTATTCACCACTTCAATCTGCCCATCTGTTTGTGGGCGATAAGCAAAACTCATATTGAACTGGGTACCCTATAAGTGAAAGAGATCTTTCGCTAGTAGAAACTTTATCTCGATCACTAACAATGGAATGTGAAATTCTATGCAACTTCATTATATTCTCAAGAAAAATACGAGAAACACTTGCAACAGTATAAGGATGTCGTCTAGCATAAAAATGAGCATATTTTGTAAGACGATCCATAACCACAAAGTGATAATTTTTGTTGGGAAATCTGGGGTGACATCATATGCGCGGTGGAAGAACATAAAACAAAATCCCAGAATTCCTGCAGAAAAATAAGGTTTCATCATCGTGCAAAGATTGGTGCGTAAAAACTCGTAAAATAAAAAAACTACGTGTATAAGAAAGATGTATTACATAGGGAGATCGTATATCCCTAAAAACCTGTAGATCAGTGGGAGAGGATGAATGAGGTCAATTGTCCTCCTCTCTAGCGGTGATCCATACGATAGGGGCTACGAAGACGCTACTCAAATTGCTACCTAAATCTCTTCCTCGCGCGCACCACATAATCAAGAAGGGGCTGCCCCTTCTTGCTATCTATACGTCCCAAATAGGGGTTGTAGTATGAGGAGGAGAGGGAGAGAGGATAATAGGAGGAGGCAACCAAAAAGAACCTAGCCCATGACCCTTTGGTTCACTCCTATTTATAGAGGCCCCATGTCAACTTACCTTAATGGATCCTACCATATTGGATACTGGATCCCTATCTAACTACATATGCTACTTAGATTAGTGGATCTCTACCTAATAATATCTCATTGGCTCTTATTGGATCTCATCCATAGGATCCAATAATTTAGGGGCTTATTGGATATCCAATAAGATAGGGGCTCCAATAGATATCTCATATCCAAACCTTTACTCGTCGTCAAACCTATCATATGTGTGTGACCCTCTAGGCCCAATATCAAGCTGGCTATGAGTCATAGTTGTCAAAAATTCTTCTGGCTCAATGAATTATTATCTCTATAATAATTCACTCGACTCATTGATTGCGGACGTACTAGGCCACTACGACATAGTCCCTAAACGATATAAGGGAATCCAATCCATTGGACCTATTTGTCCTTAGTTACTATATATCTATAGTCCCTCATCTATATAATACCCCAAAGACTGTATACCGGGCATTGTGCTATCAAGCCCATACGGTTTCTAGTCGAGTCTCGCTCCAATTAGATTCTCCCGAAGAACTTTTTATCTCTCAATCCGAATGACCCTGGCCAGGGATTTGTCTAAGCGAGAACATATGAGATATTCCTCTCATGACACTAAGAGTGGATGATCCTCTATCAACACTCAATAGCTTTCGTAAGGTTGGCTACCACTCCCGATGACTGGTTGTATTAGATCTGAAACTTCTAGGCTTATAAGTCTAGTATCAAAGAGTAGAGTACTCATACAAGACATCCTTGGTGTCTCAAGTCTAAGATACACTATTGAGATAACGGAATCGTTATCTAACAATAAGGGATCATCAATCATCCAATGTTCAATGAGCGGCTCAATTAGTGAACTCATTCTCCCATAAGCACCTACATTGTATCCCTAGTGTCTCCACACGAGTAGCTATGAGACTTGCTACCTCCATATTATGGATGGGTATATAGTACACTAGTCTATCTGGTTATCTCTGTTAGGATCGAAATCGACACTTAGAGGGGGGGTGAATTAATGCTTACGTAAAAATATTGAGTATTTAGAAAAATCGTTTCGATAAAATCATATCAGAAATGCATTTGAACTTAAAGAAAGTGTGAAGTAAAGTGAGCAGCCAAATCAGTAAGCAATATAAAGGAAAAAGGCAAAAAAGAGAAGACACACCAATTTTATAGTGGTTCGGTCGTCATGACTTACGTCCACTCCTGATTCCTCCTTCGTTGAGGCTACCGATGTTCACTAATGGTCTTCCTTCAATGGGCGAAGACCAACTACCTTCTTACAACTCTTTCTCAATTTCACAGGTTTAGGAGACAACCTTTACAAGCCTAACATCCATCTTAGAATGATCACAAAGCTAAAGAAGGATGAGGAGGACACTTAGCACTTTTTCAACACTTCTACAACTCAAAATCTTAAGGCTTTTATTCATACTTTTTGTGCTCTTTCATATAGGAAAGAGTGGAGCATTTATAGGCCCCAATGACTTCAAAAATAGAGCCAAAGTATCTCATCCCTAATTTTCGGGGTACTGGTGGTACCACCGCCATCATTGGATGGTACCATCACGTGTAGACTAACATCGGGTGGTACCACCACTCAGTTTGGGTGATAGGTATGAACGCCTAACAAAGCCTCGAAAATTGGGCTCTAGCGGTACCACCACCTGACAATATTAACTACTAGTGGTATCACCACCCAATCTAGGCGGTACCACTACCTAGACTTCTTGGGAGGTCTAGCCTCAAGCGGTTCCACCGCCTAGTCTCGACGGTGCCACCACTTGACGTGGCTCTAAGTGGCTGAATAGGCCATCTAAACGGCCCAATTCAGCCTTGTTTTGGGCCAAGTTGGCCTCTAATTGAGTGAGTAGAATTTCTCTCAAAACTAACTCAAATGAAAGTCCTAACTATGATAGTTAAGGCTAAAACAATTATGATATAAGCAATCTAAGTTGTCCAGCATGTCAACTGTTCAAATGAACTCTCGGTGAACTTTTGGTGAACTCCCAGCGATCTTCCGGTGAGCTTTCGGTGAACTTCCGATGAGCTTTCACTACATCATCCGATCCTTCAGTGTATCCCCCGATTCATCTAGCCCGATACCCGATCATTGACTCTAGCCCAGCATTCTATTCTTCTTTAATTATTTTACCTTTTTCATGATCGTAGTTAGTCCTGCATCACTTAATCTCAACACATGGATTAGATCATTAATTCACCAATTGATTTCATCATCAAAATCTGAGATCCAACAATCTCGATGTCCCTCTCGAGTAACCTATTTATTTAAGGTTTATGTTTAAAGATGAGTGTGTCTCATTATCGTGATCTTATCATAATTCGATTCCCATTGCACAGATCCATGAACATCACAATATATATATATATATATATATATATATATATATATATATATATATATATATATATATATATATATATAT